CTAGAAATGGTCAGAGATTGTCATTAAAGAGCAAGCATAATGGAGTAGTAGTTTGCAGGTTAGCAGGTGTTATTATAGAAAAGGTAGACATAACGGGTTTAGAAATACTGGTCATTAGCCCTTGCCTTGGTCACTAGGAGGTCAGATGCCTGCCTCATGGCAAGGAACCAATCAGAAGTTAGCTGGTGGTGCTATGGCTCTGGGTGTGCTTTACAGACAAGTGTACAGCAATGACGTGCAGAGCATAGCAACCACCCTGGGAGGGCCTATGGGCCACAACAACCAGTTTACCAATCAACACATGGCAAGTCCTCCAAGCCTGGAGGCACACCAATCCTGACCTGTGCATACCCCCTAGACACTCCCCTTATGTTATCCTATAAGATCTCTGTTGCATGGGTTCTCAGGGTATTTTCCCAGCCACCCGCCATGGTGGGTGGATGAAAGGCCCGGGCTAATGGGGTTAGCTCGGTAAACAACTGCAATAAAGCCTCTTGCTGTTTGCATCCCCCCCCCCAAAAAAAAAAAAAAAAAAAAGAAATACTGGTCATTAACTGGAAAACCAGGTTACCAAATTTATTGTTAGTAATTTAGGAAATGGAAAATGACGCTTTAGAGATGCTTTGGTAAAATAATTTAAGATATTTATTCTTTTTAAAATTATGTGTATGTGCCTTTGTGTGGGTATGTGAGCACAGTGCTAGCTGAAGCCAGAGTTTCAGATCCCCTGGAGCTGGAGTTAGTTGTGAGTCATTTAAGGTGGGCTTTGAGAATTTGACCTCGGGTCTTCTGCAAGTACAGTACATGCTCTTAAGCAACCAGTTATTTCTGTAGCCCCCAGGCACATTTTGTTTCTTCATGTTAACCATCATTGTTTTCTTCAGGGACTTTGTCTTTGATTGAATACCTGAAGTTCTGCAATAGCTTTGTATCTCAATTCTAGTTAAGTATAACTTACCTAAGTACAGTAAGTATTGTAAGTAATTGTGAATATTTCTGTTGATTTTGAAAGTTGAGGAATGAAATGAAATGAAAGCTGTGAATTGGTTTGTTTGGTATGAAACAGATGGTAATTCTGTTTTTTGAAATTTACTACATTTATTCATTTATTAGAGGGGGGATAGATTGTAGGGCATATACTGTGATGATTAAGTGGAATTCAGAGGACAGCTTATAGGAGCCAGCTGTGTTTTCTTTTACATTTGTTCATCTTATTTTATGTGTTTTGCATGCCTGTTTGTATGTATGTATGTGCACCTTTGGTGCTTATGGAGATCGGGAGAACATATCAGATCTCCTCAAATTGGAGTTATGCATGGTTGTGAACCACCATGTGGGTACTGGGAATTGAACCAGGGTCTCTGCAAGAATCTCTCTAGCCTCTGTTGGTAATTCTTATAAACCATGTTATTTCAGAGTAAATGTGTCCAGTGAAAGATTGTTTGGATTGATGGTATGAGGTGAAAACAGTTGTAATCCATCTGATGGTATGAGGTATAAACTGATCAGTTTCCTGCCTTAAACCTTAGCTCTCAGCTGGGCATTGGTGGCACATGCCTTTAATCCCAGCCCTTGGGAGGCAGAGGCAGGTGGATCTCTGTGAGTTCAAGGCCATCCTGGTCTACAGAGCCAGTTTGCACCTAGAATACTGTTTATGAAAATTTAGTATAAGCATTAGTTGCCTTTCTGGAACTGTTAGAAGGTGTTGTGAGACAGGCTACCAGTGATGGATAACACAGTGGGTACCAGGATCAGAAATCAGAATGCCTCCTTGTAAACAAGGTGAGTCAGTTGCTAGGAAACACAGATGTTGACCTAAATGTTTCCTTTGTTTACTTTTTGAAGCTTAAAGGGTTTAAAAATTGGCAGTCAAACATTGTATGTTGAATTCCAAATATAGACCATAATCCTTGTGCTTATGATCTTTTAAAATTCAAGATAAGAGATGGGAACAATGATTTAGTGGTTAGAAGAGTATACTACTCTTCTGGAGACCCTGAGTTTGGTTCCCAGTACCCATTTGGGTTGCTCTCAGCCTTTTGTAACTCCAGCTCCAGAGGAGACACATGCACACACATGTGCACACAACTAATTACAAAATACAATAAATTAAGAAAATTTCTGGGTGTGGTGGTGCACTCCTTTAATCCCAGCAGTTGGGAGGCACAGGCAGGAAGATCTCAGTGAGTTCAAGGCTAGCCTGGTCTACAAAGAGAGTTCCAGGACAGCCAGGACTGTTACATAGAGAAACCCTGTCTTGAAAAACAAAACAAAAAAATAAACAAAAATTACACACATCTTATTAAGTGAATCAAATTATAACATTATTATTAACTTAAAATCTACCTGTTTTCAATTAGATTGAGATTTTTTTCAGAAGGATTCTTTAAAATGGACAGATAGATAAGGAATATAGATAAATAAGGAAAGCGACTATATATTTTTGCATCATGTTGTTTCTGGAGTGATCAAGTATATTCTTATCCATATGTCAGTAAGGAAATTTGTAAAACATGGTTTAAAAATGTTTTTCTCAATAGGCCTGAATATCTTGAGTAAGATCTTATTAGCTACACAAATTGTTTCTTATTTAATAGCATGAATGTATCCATGTTAGGAATGGCATTGAGGTATTAATATGGGTTACTTACCTTGGCCATGGTAATTTTTTTTAACTGGACTTAAATTTTAGTGGCTTAGTTTCACAACAAAATTGAACATAGGCATTTTCTTACCTTGACTTGTCATCATAATGCTGTTTGTTGAAAGGAACCCATTTTTGCTGTCAGTCTTAGTGTATATACAAAGTACCTTTTACCAATCATTTTTCATGATCTTAGCATTTGTACTGAGAGCATGACCTGTATAATTTTTGTTAGGGCTTTTCTAAGTAACTGCCTGAAGTAGAACAAAGAAACCGGCTTCACCATCACATTAATGGAGAGGAAGCATTTTGAAGTCTTGTTCATGTCCTAGGAATAGTATGTATGCGTCTTATGATTTGTTATTCTGCTTTTACTGCTTTTAGGGTTGCATATTTCATACTTTGGCAGTTCAAACATGATGAGCATTTCAAATTTATTTTGGAAACTTGGCATCACGAATGTTAACTTTACTTAATTACAAATACGAATGCGTGTGTGTGTTTGTGTGTGTGTGTGTGTGTGTGTGTGTGTGTGTGTAAATCTTGGGCCTCAAGAAGACATTAGCTTCCTTAGGCAGCATTTATGCAGTTCTTGTTTGTTATTTAAAGTAACTGCTGTTTTTGATGATGCATCGATTGCTACTACACCCGGGCTGGGCTGCTTACAAATCCGAAGTGTACATGTAGCATAGCTGACATGTCCATATAGGAGTAAGCATAGAAACTTATAATACCAAAGTTCTGACTTAAAAATTTGCTCTTCCCTGTTGCCCTCCCTTGTTAAAATGATCTAGTATCTCAACTGTCACTTTCTGCTTTGGGAAAGAGGACTTTAATTGTCTTAGTTTGAGTTATTGCAAAAGACCTCAAGTAGTACAATTTATAGCACTACTATAAATTTAGTTGTGTGATGTCAGCATTATGAAAACAGCATTTTGGTATACCTTGTACTTTCAGAAAAGTTCTAACAATAGGATTGGGTTTGACATTAAAGAAAAAAATTATAAGCTATATTTCAATGCATATTGCAGTGTAAAGCCTAGATGATGCTAGTAGCTTTGACATGCCATGTATTATTTTAGGAATATATTTTATAGTTTGGTGAGGGTGTAGCTGATACTTTTCAAAAACTGTATTAAAGGAAGCTGCTTACAGAAAACTGAACATTGAGTGGCCATCATCATATATGAAGTAATCCTGTCTTCATCTCTTACACTCATTAGTTTAATATGAATAGTCTTGTTTTTATTCAATTTTCATTTCTTATCTCTACACCTTTCCCCAGTGGTGTAGAAGGAAACCCCAGATGTTATGTAGTTTTATTGATGTTTCAGTCCCTTCCTCTCCCAGTTTTGGGGTACAGACCCAAGACCTCCTACAGGATGGGCAAGCATTCTTATGAACGAGCTATATCCTTAGCTCCTCAATGTGTATCTCAGAGAGAACAGAAATTATTTATATTCCCTGTGAGTGAAAATTAGCTTTTTTATAGAGAAGTTCAAGAGTGCCTGGAAACACACTTGCTGCTGCAGCTTATTGTTGTTAATATGTGTTTAGAAAGATGAATTTGTATCATTTGGACGTTTGATAATCAAAGCCATTCTCAAGGGGGGGTGTTGATTTTATAAATATATCTACTTACACATGGATTTCCTTTTGTGTATGTGAGACATCATACAGTTTGCATTGTCAGTAGTACCTGCCCCTCCCTCCAGAATTGTTTGTTTAAATACTGAGAGACAAGCAACATGTAATAGTAATATTTAGTGTTCTGTTATCCTATGTATGGGTCCTTAATCAAAGAGAGGTGAAGGAAAATAATAGGGAGGTGGGAGAAAGAACAAAAGTGAAAGATGGGATATGGGATGAAGAGCGATGATAAGAGTAAACATGGCAGCAGAGGTGCCCAGATGTGGGGATGCCACACAGTCTCACTCTCTGATGGGTCTACCCATTCTTGGTATTAACTAAGCCTAGTTTTACATTTAGGATCAGAGTGATTGTTGATTTCTTTTTCACTGGGTGTTTTGTTTGTTTGTTATTTTTTTTTATGTTCAGAGGTTGTGAAATAAAAATTAAAAATGAAACTATTTTAGGACTAATTGTGCTGTATTTGCTTTTACACAAATATTTAGGGTTGTTTATGTAAACTAATTCAAAAAGTTGAATATTTTTTATGGGCTGAGTTGAATTGTTTGCTCTGAATGGATTATACATTATAGAAAACCTTAACTTTGTACAGACTTTGGCTTCAGATGCTTTTACTGGAAAATTGTAAAATGTTTTTTCTTTGTGTGTTCTTTCTTATTGCCCCTTTCATGGATGAAATTGATCCTATTCAAATTGGACTCTGCAGTTCACAAGATTCCTTTGCAGCTCACCATTGGAGGTAAGAGATTGCTCTCAGATTTTCATGTTAGCGTCACCAGTAGAGTAGCATTTATCTGATAATTTAGGAGTGATTATTCTAAAGCAATACATTTTTCAGTAATAATAATGGTATGAACACAGCCTTTTTTTTTTTTTTTTTTTTTTTTTTGGTAACAGCTATTCACCTTTGTAACTAGTCACTGCCCCTTTAAGTACACTTTCTCAGTGAGTAGATAGGAGTCAGCCCTAGGCTGTGTTTCTCTGACCCCTGTGTTGCTTCATCCCTGCTTAAATCACTGTCATGCTTCAGCAGAGCTGGATAGGCAAAAGCTGTCATCAAGGAGGGTTCACCTGGATAAAAGACCTCAGGAGCAGAGGACCTGCCTGGCATTGAGCATTCGTTTTGATACAAGCATTGTTCTTGGTGCCTCCTTTACTTCTCATTTAGTCTCCATCCTGGTTCTCATTTGGACCTCAGACAGGGATAAATTTTGGGGTTAAAAAAGTTACTAGATGTTCAGAGAACCAGAATCATGTGAGCTGTGGTTGCAGAAGAGCATGTAGATGATTGTGGAGACTTAGAAAAGGCAGAGCAGAAAGAACTGAGCACTGTGAATAGAGGCTGGACTTGTTCCCCATGTTCCTTTTTTTTTTTTTTTTTTTTAA